GAGAGAGAGTGTGTGTGTGTGTGAGAGAGAGAGAGAGAGAGAGAGAGAGAGAGAGAGAGAGAGAGAGAGAGAGAGAGTGTGTGTGTGAGAGAGAGAGAGAGTATATTGAGGACTTGCGAGCCGTCAGCCCGTGGATTGTTTGAAGGTTAGTAGAACGGGTGCCAGGGGCAGAACGGTCCTCGCAAGTTGCTTGCTTCGCAATGCTATCATCTCGTTTCCCTATCTCCACGAGATGTGTGTCGCTGACGTGGAAAGTACGCGCGCGTTTCTCTTATCAGTTCGTCGCCGGTCGCTCGTCTGCTATCATCAGCCGTCGGTATTCCGTTATCCTCCTTCCTAGTGAAATAAACTCATGGTACATATTATAATTATCGAGTATGATCGAGTATCCAGAGTTGCTCATGATACATATTATTATCGAGTATCCTTCATCTTATTATTGTCGGTGCCACAGCCTGCCAGTGAGGAGGGCAAGCCTGACAACTGGGGCAACCGAGCACATGCTGCCATCGGATGAGCGAGGGTGGTCATGATCTCGTGTGCTTGGTGGGTGTTTCATCATCGTCTTCGATGTTCTCAGTCATTGGATTGAATTGCTTTGAAAATCTATACGACAAGAAGAGTGCCAGAGATTTCCTCACCCTGTCAGGTTTTTCGCGAGCAGAGAAAAAGAGTCGAATTGATGAAAGATCACAGAGCATCTAGCATCTAGCATCTAGCATCTAGCATCAGATTCTGGCGTACGACATCTGACGTTTTTCAAGTTTCTTGTGACAGAAGAGAATCATCATAAAAAAATAGCCAGGGGCACGCAGGACGATGTTGCTGCAGACCCTGCCCATGTGTGATGGTGGTCAGGGAAATGAGCTGGAGATCTGCCTTACCCGCTGGAACGGGACGCCATATCCAGAGCTTCGAGCCGACGGGCGCTTCTACGCAGTGGTGCGGGCGGAGGAGACGTTCCGAGTACGGGTGCGGGCGCTGCAAATGGAGTTCCCAACGATGGTAGTGAAAGTGTTCGTGGACGGGATAACGGTCGGATACCAGAAGGTGTTGATGAAATCGCAGCTAGCGTCATGGTGTAATTTCGATGGATACTGGCAGAGCTCGACGGAGAAGAGGGCCTTCGTGTTCAGAACAGCGACGACGACGACGACGACGACGACGACGACGACGACGACGACGGCGCAACCAAGCTCGGCTATGGCGGACGACCGAGCAGAGGGAGATGCGGGACAGAAAGTGGATGAGAGGAAGGGAGAGGGAGGGGACGGAAGACCAGATTGTGGTGGTGATGATGATGAGGATGACCTGAACTTCAAGGATGATGGTGATGATGATGGTGATGATGATGATGATGATGATGATGAGGAGGAGGAGGAGAAGGAAAGTGAACAAGGAGACGAGGAAGAGGGAGGGGGTAGGAGAAGAAAAAGAGCCCGCAAGAATGATCATTGCAATCAGGCGAATGCGGCTGGCTATGGCGGGCGTGTTCCTCGTCGATCAGTCCGTCATCAATCGCCTCTCTTGAAGTCAGGTACAGTGACTGTCTGCTTCTATCCCTCTGAAATTTACAACTGTCCAGGCCAAGGATGTCAGAGCTGCTCCTTATTGGGCTTCACCTCTTCTCGGGCGATGGCGGACAATACGCGCTCCTCTTCTCCGGCTATGGCGAGGGGCTCGTCTTCGTCCTCGTCGTCGCTGTCTTGCAGTTCCTCCTCTGTGACCAACGGCGCTTCTGAGTCTGCCAAAGCAGGGCAGGCGATGGGTGGCGACGCGAGCCAATCCTTTTTCTTGGGCAAATCGCTTTCGGGCCTTTCGGCTATGGCGGCCGTTAACCGCCATAGCTACAGCAAGAAGGAGATCAACAACGGCAAACAGAGGAGAGAGAAGGTCGAGCTGCGACAGAGTGACACGTGGAGGGTGCTTAACTGCTATAAGCCGGTGAAGGATGATGATGACCAGCTCGGCAATTTCCGCTCGGCTGACGTGAATAAGAGCTGGACGAGGAGGAAGGAGAGGGGCATGGAGGAGAAGGAGGAGGAGGACGAGGTGGTGGTGGTGGTGAACGGAGAAGAAGAGGGAGGTAAAGACTTAGCCAAGGTCAAGTCAGTTCGCGTTAGTCCGATCGAGAGGAAAGTACAGGCCAAGCTGTCGAAGAAGAGGGAGATGGAGGAGGAGGCGAGGGAGGGGAGGGAGAGGGTTGAGGAGGAGAGGGAGAGGGAGAGGGAGGGGAAGGAGACGATGGTGAGGATGCTGAGGGAGGAGAAGGGAGAGAGGAGGTTGCCTGGTGGCGTTAGCAGCAGCTGGAAAGTTGGTGGAGATACCCTGTCGAGAGTTCAGGCCGGAAAGACTTTGACCAAACTCCGCTCGGTCAAACCTGTGACTCATCCCAGGACCACGTCGAACGTGCCGTTACTTGGAGTGTCGTTTATCTGTCAGACGGCGAAGGCATTGCTCAAGCAAGGGTTACTGAATCCCAGCAATCCTAACCATCGATGTATTTTGTCGTTTAGCGAGTCCCCGGATGGGACAAGCTGCCCCGATTATTCCATACCGCTGCAGATCAAACCAGGCACCCCCTCCATATCCGACATGAAAAGGCAAACTCAATCATGGAAGGAAAGGAAGACAACCGCCCATCCTCCTCCTGCTGCTGCTCTTGCATCTTCTCCTCTTTCACCTGCTGCTGTACTCTCTCCTCCTCGTCCTCCTGCTGCTGCTGCTGCTGATGGATCCTCTTCTTCTCCTCCTCCTGCTCAATCTTCTTACCCTCCCCCTCTAGCTGCTGCTGCATCTCGTCGTCCTCCTCCTCCTCCTCCTCCGCCTCCACCGCCTCCTTCTCTTCCTCCTGCTCCTGCTCCTGCTCCTGCTCCTGCTGCTGCATCTTGTCTTCCTTCTCCTCCTCCTGCTGCTGCATCTCCTCCTCCTCCTCCCCCTCCCCCTCCCCCTCCTTCTCCTCCTCGTCCTCGTCCTCTTCCTTTGCCTCCGCCTAGCGCTGCTGCTGCAGCTCCTACCGATTCTTGTCCTTGCCCGTCTCCCTCTCGCTCACCTCTGCGTACTTGTCGTCCCCGTATGACGAATGTAGAATCTGTCCACAACTTGAAGCCATTAAAGGGCAATTCAACGATCAGGGTCAATTTGTGCTCCGACAGCAGCCGTGGTAATATGAATATGACCGAGAAGACCGTTTCGGCCGCCGCGATCCCCAGCTGTCCTCGAAACGACCAGGATCATAGTTCCTTTCTTCGCCGTGCGGACCTCTTTCCACGTCAACGGCTATCTCGCTCATTATCTCATCAACCCTCCTCTCCACCTTCTCCTTCTCCCTCTCCTCCGACAGCTATAGCAACGGCAGTTAAATTAGCTACACCTACTACTGCTTCTGTTTCTGCTTCTCCTGCTCGGACTGCTCCTACTGCTTCTTCTTCTTCTTCCTCTTCTTCTTCTTCTGTAGCTGCTTCTTCTTTAGCATCAGCAGTAAGATCAGCGGTCGCTGCTGCTGCTGATGGCCGTCCGTCATCGATCCATGTTCCGACTCCTCGTCCTCTTGAGACGGAGGCGGCACGGTTATCGTGCTCGTTTCCTTCCAGGCAATCATCAGCCGCCGGCACCAGTGACATGGAGGCGCTGCTCCCTCGCATTTCCCCTCCTCCTCCCTCTCCCACGTCCGCTCTCATCTCGCACCTGCTTTGTCAAAGCAACCAGATCTCGGCACGTGTGCCCTTCCCGTCCTCTGGGCGATCTTCACCGTCGGGACAGGAGGGGCACCATTACGATTACGATGGAGACCGCGATTCATCATCAGCCTTCGCCGTTCCAAAGGCGGCAACTTCACCCAACCCGGATGTCGCAAGGGATCTGGAGAGAAGGATCGCGATCCCGATGTACCTGAGCGAGAGGGACCACCGTCACCTTCGTGGAGAAGAGGGAGGAGAAGGACGAGCCGGCGTTGCAGTGTCCGCAGGACCGGTCGCTGAGAAAACTCAAGTGTCTTACTCCTCCGCCTACCGGTCGGCTGTTGCTCCTCCGTCCAACTCACTGCCGACCACGCCCGGCGTTTCCCGCAAGAGAGTACGATTCGCTGATACCCCCACGACGACGAATGACAGCCGTCTGTCGACTGCTCATCCTTGCTCCGCAAATCTCAGCAGTCAGATCGCACCGTTCGAGCAGCAAGGGGACAGATCACAACTCCTTTTACCACCCCATGCCACCACAGTAGCTGCAATCATTGCTGGTGGTGGTGGTGGTGGTGGTAGTGCTACCGTCGGAAGGGCTTCTTCAGGTCCTTCGTCGTCTTCACGTTCTTGTGCTCTGAAGAACCTGGCTTCTCATTATGGCTATGTTCGTACCACGGACAGATCCGCCTTATCTCCATGGGAGAAGGAGAGAGATTCCACTGCCACTCGCAATCCGATGTGCACGTGTCCGCTGGTCACACCGAGTTGTGAGCGGAGCGTCATCACCGCTCAGCTTCCGGACTCAAGTGGAAACAGCAGTCAGGCTATGCGGGGGGCGCACGCTCTCCCACCTCGACAACGCGAGCTACCTCTCCATACCATCCCGGAGGAGCGTTCTACTGGTCTTCCACACCTTCCTCTCAAAACGCAACGAGAAAGATCTCGAGCAGGCGTAGAAGAAGAAGAAGAAGTAGATGAAGAAGAAGAAGAAGAAGAAGAAGAAGAAGAAGAAGAACAAGGCCGACAAGAAGACGAAGGAGAAGAGGAAGAAGAAGAAGAAGAAGAAGAAGAAGAAGAAGAAGAAGAGGAGGAGGTGGAGGAGGAGGAGGAGGAAGAAGAGGAGGAAGAAGAGGAGGAGGAGGAGAGACAACGAGTTTTCCGTGAGGAGCAAGAGGGCGATCAAAAAGACGAGCTTGCAGAACGACACGTGGCAATCGATGGAGGACGAGAGACAGATCAGGAAGTTGGAGTAGGTAAGGGTCAACAGAGCGAAGAGAGAGAGCCGCGGCGATTGCTGAGGGAGAAGGATCTTCGCCGATTATTCGGGAATGGAGAACGGTACGTGGAGCTAGATCAAGGACGCCAGATGTCGAGAGGGGAACAGAGGAAGCATCCATTTGTTGACGTGAATGGTCCCCAGGAGGTTGATGAGTGCGCTGCTGCAAGCGGGGACTCGTCGGCGGCCATGGCTATGGCTATGGCTATGGATGCAGAGAACATACTCCGCATGCGGAGAGGACGATTGACCACCTCAGCGAGAGAGCGAACTGCATATGGATTGGAGATGGCGGAGGTCAGATCAATGCTCAGCAAAAAGCGGAGGAAGGGGAATGGCCATGGCTATGGCTATGGCTATGGCTCTGTCTCTGGCCCTGGGTGTGGCTATGGCTATGGCGTTTACGCTGCTAACGGAGGACCAGCTGAGGAAGGACTACTAGCCCGTCTGCAAAGGGAGAGAGTGATGATAGGCATGGACCAAGATCCCAACCAGGATGCCAAGCTGGATCCCAACCTCGATCCCAGACCCTTCAGCCTGTATCCCGGCCTAGTTCCAAGCCTGGAACTGACTCTTGGGTCCTGGAGTACGGCGAGTACCAGCAGTGCCACACATGGCTCACCTTTAAATACCAGGGCTTGACGTTAACGGAACGGAACGGAACGGAACGGAACGGAACGGAAGGGAATGGTGTTTTCTTGTCCGTTGAGGAGGTCGATAACGGAGAAGGAATGATGAGACATAGACATGCAGGCAGACCACATTCGTCCCCCGAAATATTTAACGTATCATGAGACATATCATGCAGGCAGACTGTACATCATGAGAGATATACATGCAGGCAGACTACATGTATAGAGCTGTATCTGGACTGGAAATTGAACCGAATACGGGTATAATGAGCGGGCGTTTTATTCGAGTGAAGATGGTAGCACATGGCTGGCGCGGTCGTACGGCAGAAGACGAGATTCTGAACGGAAGGGGGAAAAGAGGACTTCGTCCTTCTGGACATAGTTAAAATTGGAACGATACAGAGAAGATCAGCATGGTCTCTGCACCAAAAAAAAAAAAAAAAAGACTTGGGACAAATACCAAGAAGATTAGCATGGCGCCTGCACTTTCAAGCTGGAGAATGTCCAAGATTTTCCTCCTTTTTTTTTTTGTTTTTTTTTTTTCTTCTGGCCGTGATAAGGAGGAAAATCTCGGACGTTGGCCACCATGATGTCGGAACGGAGGGTCTAAGCCTTGGCCCAAAAAAAAAAAAAAAAAAAAAAAGAAGAAGAAGCTGAATTCGTGCCTGATGTGAATCGCGAGCCGAGAAAGAAAGGGGTAAAAAAAAAACCGTTGTAGTTTAGATAATGCTATGACTCCACTACTCTAGAGTCTAGAGATCCACAGAAGACAAAAAGAAAAATATGGCGGCGTATTTTGCCATGTTCTAGGGGAAGATTCATTCTCATTTTGCACATTTCGTGAGTAGTGGAGCCAGGCCCAATGTACAGTTACGATTAGATCTCGCGCGCTCCTTCCTCGTCGTTCGTATCTGTTGTTCAAGTTTTTTCCCCTCTTTCGTTTTTGGGCCTCCTCCTACGTGGCGGGTGCATCTGGCCATGTTCTAGCCGGAGGTTCATTCTCACTTTTTACATCTCGAGAGTAGTGTGCCGATGCCCCTTACACCCTCTTCTTTCCTCTCGAGTCCGGCTTGTACTTTTTTTTTTTCTTTTCCCCAAGCCTTTTATTGTCATTAGCTGTCCATCTCAGCAACATACAGTCAGAGACGACTGACACGGGTGTTAAGTGGGACTGGGCCCCCAGGGGGCGAGGTCCCACTACAGCAGCAAAGACGATTGGATTTGACACCCGAATATGAATATGGATGCGTTTGTGAGCAGGTGCAGAAAATCGTGATCGATCTGCTTTTCTGCAACTCTGCTTGGAAACCCGTCCAGATTCAGGTGTTTACTCCAATCCTCTGGGCAAATGGGACTTGGCCCCTGCTCTCTCTCTCTCTCTCTCCACTTTTCGAAGATTTGTTCGAAAAGCTGTATAAGTGGTCTTTTTTATTTTTATTTTTAAAGGTGGTCTTTTTCGAAAACGTAGAATTGAAATGACTTTGTTCTGTTGGCCCATCACCTCTTTTCCGTGGCTGGAAGCAGACATGTCAAATGAACCTGGGCATCTTTTGATGGTTTACGCTGTACGGAAACAACATGCTGGTCTCCAGACCAACGGCGCGTTGGTCTGCAGACCGAATAATTTTGTATCCTGGTTTCCCTCCTGGACCAGAGCCTGGACCAGGTTCACTGAGCGATCGGGCATCTCGTAACTCCTGTTGTCATTTTGGCCCAGGTCCATTCTTAGACCGCCGTTCCAAAGCACAACAACAATGAGGAGAATACACATGATGCCGCCTCGCTCCCCTTTTTTTGCTTTTTTTTTTTTAATTGAGAATTTTAATGGTCTCCACGTAGGAAGCGTCGTTGATCCGGTCCAGATGTACGGAGGGCCGTATTGTTTCGATCCACAAGTTGATGCACACAAGTACACAGCTCTCAGACCTTGTCGAGATCGACAGATAAGGGGAGGAAACACGTTATGCACGAGATGATGGCGATCTCCAAGTGGCAAAGAAGTTTTCAAATCCTTAAAAAGTCTTCAGATCTACAAGGATAAGCGAAGAACGTGATGATTCCATATCCAGCCTTCCTCCACAAGTTCATCTTCAAATTTATATCTATCTACAGGTCGTGAGTTCAAAAAATTTCCGTTCTGATCAAAGGACAGGGCTTAGCCTTAGAAGAGAACTTAATGATGCTTTGCCCAGCCGTATCGCGACGTCAAACTGCAAGTTGATCTACAGGTGGAGAGCTCAAATAAAATTCTCTTCGATAAAAAATAAAGGATGAGACGAGGACGTCGTGATGATGCTTGATTGATCCTCAAGGTGATTCACAAGTGGGGAGAATTCACATGCTGTGCAGATCGACGGAAAAGGAGGGGAGTTGAAGGAAGGAAGGCGACGATGCCTTTTTTTTTTTTTTTTTTTTTTTTTTTTTAAAGAAACTTTAAATGGATATTAAATCGAGTCGATCGTCAAGTTAAGGGTGGAAATCCTCTTGAGTTTTTTTTTTTTTTATTATTTTTTATTTTATTTTTTTTAATTTATTTATTCTGTTGTCAACTTCTCATATGATTGCTCACCCGACTTGAAGGGGCAAGTGGCAATCGAACATGGGGTCTCTGAATGGCAAAGAGTTGATGGGTTCTTTCCAACTGCGAGCCAATTTAAGCCCCGTGTGACACTTCCAGGCGTTGTTCAAATCAAATCTTCTATCTTCGATTCTATGGACAAGGAGTCTCACAGTGTCTCACTGAGCGACGGACGGAGAGTAAGCTGATGATCATCATGATCATGATGATGATGATGATGATGACTTATCCTGAAGGTGATCGACAAGTCGAGCCCCACAAGTTTAGGGTTTCGAATTATGTCGTTGAGTCGTTGACCATTAGTKTATGTTATTCTGTCCAGAGCGAATCTCAATTCTCTCGTACAGACATRGACTGAGCGATGCATAAGATGGTCATGGCGATGCCTTAATATGTGCTCAAGGTGATCGACAAGTTGCAGTATAAGATGAGGGGGCTCRAGTGCCCCCCGGGCGTTGATAAGCATAATTTTATTTCTGTCCAATGCATATGATTGTTGTTCTATTCTGTTCGTATGATTGCGCACCCACCCCACGGCAATCGAACACCGGTCTGTCTCTCTATCCACAGTTCATGGGGGGTGTGCCAACTGCGATATGGGGCCTCGCACCACTACTACAGAACACTCTACATGCATCTGGACGCAATCTGGACCAGGTGCATTGAGATGAGTCCAACACTTGGAATGCATCCGGTCTAAAATGCGTCCGAATGCATGTAAAGTGTTGTGTAGTGGAGCCAGGCCCATGGTTCCGGTCTGCAATGTTTATACTAAGGACAGTGGCGATTGAATTGTGAAGAAATGAACCTGGTCGCGATTCGTGCTAAGAATCACTTTCTGCCTGTTCAAGTCCCCCCCCCAAGTCGAGAGCTCATTCATGGTGGGTCTTCAGGGACTCTAGTATCCGTTTAGGGACTCTAGTATCTGTTCGATCGCACAAGCGTCGGTATGTGGTCGCATTTGCTGGCAAAGTACGTTCTTGTCCAAGGCTTCAGCTGACGTGGCAACCTGAGGAGAGAACATGAGCTGACGTGGCAACCTGAGTAGAGGACATGAGATGACGTGGCAACCTGAGGAGAGGACATGAGCTTACAAAGCAGGCTGATCTGGACAGCAGCCGGCTGGGAGGACAGAGACTACAACTACTCGATCAAGTGAATGTGGTGCTGTTTTCGGTCAGGTACTGATTCTTAAGATCCTCGTTGCCTCCACCAGCTAGTGGAATCGATCCAAACTCTGAAGCCGTAGGACGTGGAGCCGTACTTCTTGCTAGAAGTAGTAGAAACTCCTGAGAGATGTCGGCGGGCCAAGGTACTGATTCTTAACATCCTTSTTGCCTTCAACAGCTCGTCGAACAACTCGCGAGAAACTCAATGAATGTGGCCGTCATTCCGGTCACGCACGGCGCGGGATTRTTGATCCCACAAAAGCAGTAGGCAGTGGAGCCGTACTTCAAAGATCAACGGTCAGAAACGAGCAGTACAAATACAGATATCATGGCCGTATGTTCCGTTCCGAGGAACACGGTAGTGGCCCAACCATTGCCATAGTAGAGCGAAAGGCTGGCTATGCGGTCGCCTTTCTGTGTGTGTGTGTGTGTGTGCGTGTGTGTGTGTGTGTGTGTGGTGCCCGCAATGCCCCGCGTCTATCGAACTATAGCAGATTAGAATTAGATGATTGCTAGTTGTTCGATGCTTTCTAATCTTGTGTTTAATCTAATCTTTCTATCTACTTTGTCGTTCTGTTTAGTTCATTCTTCTGCCAATACATTCGTAGACATGTCTCTGTTGTGTGTGAGTCGTAGATGTGCCACGTGTGTGAGTGTGTGAGTGTGTGAGTGTGTGTGTGTGTGTGTGTTTGCTTTGTGTGTACTTTGCATTTGTGTACGAGCCGGCGTGGATGCCTGACTAGAACGTTGTTGGCTTGTTTGCATTCGATATTTTTTATTGAGCTGGTGGATGCTTTGCGCTGCTGATTTTTCCTTCGTCGTTTCCTCCGAAGTCCTTGCATCATCTTTCTCTGCTGCACCTACTGTCCCTTTTGCATTTGTATAGCAGGGGTACGTACTACGTACGTTGGGCTTGGATCCTGCCTTGTCCCGAAATGCGATTATGATCATGGTTTTTCAACTTCACCACACATCACATCTAGATCTTGACATTCATTGAATTTAGTCACGAGTTGAACTTCTGAGTGTCATTGAGTGATAAAATGAGCATGGGGAAACTACGCGGGAGTCACAAAAAAGAGTTATAAGTATTGCGCTATGGGCCAAGAACAAGATACTGTAACAGTTTCGAATTATTTGCAGTTCGGGCAATGTATACAACCCAGCTTTCTGGCCAGGTACGGTGCCCCAAGTGCAATTATTGCAAACTGTAATATCTTGCCTCAGTGTGTAATGACAGACTCGTTTTTGTGACTCTACTGAAGTTAGTACCCCTATTATGATAATGATGGGATTTT